TGTGTGTGTGTGCTCACCTGGGTGTGCTCACACCTCTCCTCACTCACCTGTGTGCACACTCACACCTGAGCACGCTCACCTGTGTACCTCAGCATGTTTTTGCACACCTGCCTGCCCTTTGCACCCCCCCAGGACTCCCCAAAATCAAAAAAATTCACCCAAAATCTCCGAAATCTCCCCAAAATCACCAAAATCTCCCCAAAATCACCGAAATCTCCCCAAAATCACCGAAATCTCCCCAAAATCACCGAAATCTCCCCAAAATCACCGAAATCTCCCCAAAATCTCTGAGATCTCCCCAAAATCACAGAAATCCCCCCAAAATCACCGAAATCTCCCCAAAATCACCAAAATCTCCCCAAAATCTCCGAAATCTCCCCAAAATCACCAAAATCTCCCCAAAATCACCGAAATCTCCCCAAATCCCCAGGAGCGCCTCTCCCGGGCCCAGCGGCGCCGGCGCCGGCGGCGACAGCAGCGCCAGCGGCTGCTCCTGAGCCAGAGACTGCGGGACCTGGAGCAGCTCGGGGACAGCGAGGGGACACCGGGGACAGCGAGGGGACAGCGAGGGGACACCCCGGGGACAGCCAGTGACCTCGGTATGGACATTGGGGACATTGGGGGGGACATTGGGGACACCCCAGGGACATTGGGGACATTGGGGGGGACATTGGGGACACCCCGGGGACATTTGGGACACCCCAGGGACGGCCAGTGACCTCGGTATGGACATTGGGGACATTGGGGGGGACATTGGGGACCCCCCAGGGACATTGGGGACATTGGGGGGGACATTGGGGACACCCCGGGGACGGCCAGTGACCTCGGTATGGACAGGGGGGACATTGGGGGGGACATTGGGGACACCCCGGGGACATTGAGGGGTCCTGGGGGGACACTGGGGACACCCTGGGGACACCTTGGGGACACCTCGGGGACAGGCAGTGACCCCAGGAAGGGCGGGGGGGACACCAGGGGGTCCTGGGGACCCCAAAAATCCCCCAAATCCCCCCCCAGATCCTGATGGGACACGGGAGGGGACATTGGGGACACCCAGAGACCCCAGGGTGGGGTTTGGGGGGACATTGGGGGGTCCCGAGCACCCTGGGGAGGGGGAGAGAGGGGACCTGGGGGTCCCCAGGGTGGGTTTGGGACCCCCAGGGTGGGTTTGGGGTCCCCAGGGTGGGGCTGGGGTCCCCAGGGTGGGTTTGGGGTCCCCAGGGTGGGGCTGGGGTCCCCAGGGTGGGTTTGGGGTCCCCAGGGTGGGGCTGGGGTCCCCAGGGTGGGTTTGGGGTCCCCAGGGTGGGGCTGGGGTCCCCAGGGTGGGTTTGGGGTCCCCAGGGTGGGGCTGGGGTCCCCAGGGTGGGTTTGGGACCCCCCCAAGAACGATTTGAGGGGCTCTGGGGGTAATTTTGGGGTCCCTGGTCCTGTTTTTGGGGTGACCCCATGAGGATTTGGGGGGTGGGGGGTGGTTAAGGAGCACCTGGGAGTTTTTGGGGTGAATTTGGGGGGGGGGGGCCTCCGGGCCTTTTTCCCCTTCCC